GGCTTTATATCCTGGCACCAATAGGCCAAACTCTAACATCATCAGTGTTATTGGGTACCCATCTCCAACAAATACATTATGAAGACACAAACCCATTATACACTCTATGTGGATGCTTAGGGCATAAACAAAATCAATGTACAACAAAGAAGGGACCAGAAGCAACCGCACAAAGAAATAGAGAAAGCACATAATAAGGCACATCACAAGAGCCTTGGAAAATAGTGGTAAGGAAAAGAGCAAGTCGGTACTCACCAACCAATCTTAGTACCAATCGTCAACACCAACGCAGAAAAAGAAAATAACAGAAACAATGCAAGTGAGGAACAAGGAAAAAGAAAAACACCAATCATTAACACTCCCACCAACATCATCAAAAAAGAATAAGAAATCTCTAATGTAATGACCCGATCGATCGTTTTGAGAATTAGCATCTGATGTCACCCAAACTCACACCACTAATTGGGATTGTGAGGCGGTCGATGCAATTACAAGGGGTCGATTCCATAGAGAGCTTATGTGGTATTAGGTATATACTCAGTCTAGTGTATGATGTGCCCAAGATTGCACTTTCACATGATTGGTTGTTTCTTTCTACTTCTAATGATTATGTTAATACTTGTAATTGAAAAACTAAGAGACAATATTTTTGGCATTGTTGTTTTTCAAGTTTATAAAAGATCTAGGGTTGTGACTTCCACCTAGATGGTTACCTAACGGTCTGTAAACTCTAGTTCAAGTTTGATTGGTCGGGGTCATAATATAGCAATCACACGCAATTACCCACTCTATGCCTCTCGGTAGTTAGAGTAATTCTGTCCAATTTTGCTTTCTCAAGTCTAAATGGGTATTGCACAAAATAAGTGATAAATGCTCAAGTCAGGTTTTACTATGTCTAGATTGAACCCTTTAATTGGGGCTATCAATTTCTTGAGTTTACCCCAATTTCTTGTTAGCCAAATTTTCCTAGACTTGGTCTCTCTTTCTCAAGTAGAGACTAAGTCAATTAGGCACGAATCAATGTTTGCAACCAATAATTCTCAAATTCAAGCAAGAACTAGGCTAAATATCACTAACCCAATCACAAACAAGCCCTAAATCAAACACTCATTAAGTACGCATACTAGGGTTAGGTCACAACCCTGGTAAGAAATTTATCTACTCTTGAAAAATGAAGAAATTAAAGAATAAACTAAGATAAAATCTATAATAGATGATTAAGGGAAGAAAACAATATGTTAAAATGTTAAACTATTACAATGTACCTTGCTAAAATTATCTGGTGCACAAAACTTAACCTAAAAATTATTAAAAGATCTATTTATACCCAGCTAAAATTATAGGACATAATCGCTCCTGCGAAGGTTGTGCGGACGCACAATTCTATGTGCGATCCGCACTTTGAAACATGGATTGACAGGTTGGACTTCTGTGGCCGGACAATTCTGAGTTACGGTTGCACTTCTTCAAATTTGCGGACCGCATATTTCTGAGTGCGGCCGCACTCTTGATTATGCGGTCACACAATAATGGTGAGGTCCTCACTTCTTGACCTTGGGATTTGGAAATGCGGGACTTCTACGGACCACACAATTCTGAGTGTGGTCGCGCTATTGATTCTATAGTAGCACAATAATGGTACGCTCCACACTTATTCATGTCCCAAAAATTCCATCTCTCTAAACCTCTTCTTCTGCAGCCGCACAAGAGTTGTGCGATCCGCATTTTGTATGGTAATTCTGTCAGAGGATCCTTATGTTCCCCGACCGCACTCAATATTATGTGGTTCGAATTTTGCCCTTTTAGCCTTGTTTTGGTCTTGTCAAAAATTACTCCTTCTTGAGTTGATTTTCATCTCTTTAGCGCATATTCTAACACTCATGCAAGAAAGCACAATTCATTAGTTTTTGGAAATACCTTAAGCAATTTTGAAATTAACGAAAATAAAAGAGTGCAAATAAGTAGTCAAAATCCCTACTTATCAGCGTCTCGTTAAGTGGCTTAAGGTCTCGAGAAGCTTCATATTATGTATTATGACTTGAAAGATGATTCATGTTTTGCAAACTTAAGCAATAAGACTTGACCGAAGTTTGACTTTTGTGCAGACGATTTCGGAATAGTGTTTTGATGATTCCAATAGCTTTGTATGGTAATTTTGGACTTAGGCGTGTGTCCAGATTTGGAATTAGATACCCATAGATTAATTTAATGCATTTTGGCAAAAATATGAAATTTTAAGGTTTAGATGGTTGAGGTTTTACCGGGAGTTGACCTTGTTTATATCAAGCTCGAATTTTGATTTTGGGAGTTGGTATAGTTCCGTTGTATCATTTAGAATTTGCATGCAAAATTTAACATCATTCTCGATTGATTTTATATGATTCGGCGCGAGTTGTAGAAGTTGAAAGTACATAAGTTCATTAAGTTTGATTTGAGGTACAATTCATAGTTTTGATGTTTTTTTATGTGATTTGAAGCCTCGAGAACATCCGTGTTATGTTATAGAGATTTTTGGTATGTTCAGACGGGGTCCAGGGGAGACCTGGGTGTGTTTCGGACAAGTTCCGGATTAATTGGATCATGTTGGGTGAGGCTAGTTTGGGCAAAGGTCTAGTGTGGTCGCACCTACGTACCACTGAGCACAGGTGCAATGGTCACAAGTGCGGACGAGAAGGTGTAGAAGGGAGCTGATGGGGGTTGAGGTTTTTTGCATCTGTGATGGTACTCCCGTAGATACGGCTCCACAGGTGTGAGTTTGCATGCGCAGGTGCGATTTTGAGTTGGATTGGAAGGTCTTGCAGATGCGGATATTTTGCCACAAAAGCAGCTATGCAGGTACGTTTGGTTGTTCGCAAATGTGGTTAGTTGCGGTTTTTGTTGTTTGTGCATCTAGGATGAATATTCCGTAGATGCGGCTTCGCATATGCGTCTGTGAGTCTGCAAAAGCGAAAGTGCTGGGCAGAAAGGTTTTAATTCGAGGGTCTGCTATTTTTATCATATCTTGAGTTGTAGACCTTGGTTTTGAGTGATTTTAGAGGGGTTCTTCATGTGTTGGATTGGGATAATCATTCTTATCTGGATTTGATTGTATTTCGCGATTGCACCTTTGTTTTTAACATTAAATTATTGATTTGAATGAGAGAAAATGAGAATTTTCATATAAACATTCAAAAATATAAAATGAGGATTTGAAGAATGATTTGATACAGGATTTGGATAATTTTAGTATGGTTGGACTCGTATCAGAATGGGTGTTCGGATTTTGTAAATTTTGTCGGGTTCCGAGATGCGGGCCCGGGGTTGACGTTTTGGGTTGTCTTTTTAGTTTTCATTAAAGATCGAAGCTTTATTATCTGAAATTCTTTTCTATGATTTTTATTTATGATATTAAGTTATTTGGCTAGATTTAAGCAGTTCAGAGGTTGTTTCACACGAGAAGGTCATTTTAGAGTATCGGTTTAGCTTCTTTGAGGTAAGTATCTTACCTAACTTTGTGTGAGAGAATTACTCCTTAGGATTTAAGTCGTTTGTGCTAATTGTGTCGTGTGAAAGACGGGTATGTGAGGTGACGAGTATGTACTCAGACTTATATATGGAAATTGATCGGTTTAGACTCTTAGTCTACTTTCATGTACTTATTTGAAATTTGTTAGCACATGGTATATTTTTCATTTGTCATGTCTATATATGTATATATAGATGTAGTACTAGGTCATGCCATCTCTTTCATTTGTTAGCCTATTCGTACAATAGAATCCGAAGTTCTTATTTCATAGAAATACTTTTACTATTGACTTTATCTTTAAACAATTAATTTGAAGTGAGGTTATCAAAGGCCATTAATCTATTTCAATTGAAGCTGTGTTTAAAATGGGGCGTTGTTCCTTGTTGAGTTACTTTCCCATTCATTTTGTTGTTACTGAGATTCTATACACATTGTATTGAGTCGTGGGCTATTTGTTGTGAAAATATTAATATTGTTGGATCTTTGGTGTATATGGCCAAAATTGGGGAGTTCAACTTTAGGGCTACTATGCCGCTCCACGCCCAACCTCGATGAGCCCGAAGCAGAGCGTGAGGTACAACCCCGAGGTGTTCTCCCTCGAGGGAGAACAATGAAGGCCCACTATGGTTGATATCGGGACAGTACAATCGATGATCATCATGGAAAGGCGGGAAAGTTCCCGAATACACGTGTTTAGAGCTAACCAGGTCTACAAGAATAGTATAAATCCGTACTAAGTCATTATATAGCTATACCAATAGCATTTCCTCGTTATTATGAGACACGTACTATGTTGGGATTCCCCCCTCCTATATAAAGGGGAGCTTTGTCATTTTGTAAGGGGATTCAGATAATTACACAACATATTGAATACAATACGACATTCTCTGCTCTTTGCTAACACAATTGTTCTTCACATTTATTGCTTATTCTTTCATTGTTCATTCATTGCTCATTTATTGTTCTACATATATTGCTCGTTATTAATCGCAAAAGCCATCTTTGAGTCCCTAATTATCATTAATTATTCATCAATTGTTCATTGCTATTAGTCCCTTCTAAACCTCGAGGCTCTGCTCCAGTCAGTTCGAGGCCCAGCCTTGTGACCCTATTGGTTTGCATTTCTTATTTTCGTTACTTACATTTAGCATCTACTGCCTAACAGCTAGTATTGCAATAAGTCACGTATTTTTAGATCCACAAAATCAAATATAATTGTAATTATCATTTTTAAGGTAAATAGTTTGGCGCCCACCGTGAGGCTAAAAATAATAGTGACTGTTTTGGAGCTAGTTTTCAGATAACACACGTTATTCTTCATACTTTTTCTTGTCAAAGATTCTTTTATTTTAGGCTTAATCATGTCTAGCACACAGACCCTAATGAGAACGTTACCACTTATACTTGTGCTGTAAAAGGGAACGACTTAAAGGATGACGAAATTTAGTCCGTCTTGTTGAAGAAATTTGGAGAAACACTATCAAAGGGGGCTATGATGTGGTATCGTAACCTACCCCCAAATTCAATTGATTCATTTGCCATGTTGGCAGACTCTTTTTTGAGGGCGCACGCTGGTACCATCAAGGTCACCACCAGGAAGTCCGATGTCTTCAAAATCAAACAAAGAGAAAATGAGATGCTAAGGAAATTTGTATCTCGCTTTCAGATTGAGCAAATGGAATTACCACCAGTGTCTGATGACTGGTCAGTACAGGCCTTCATTCAAGGCTTGAACGAACAAAGCTAGGTGGCCTCAAAGAAGCTAAAACAAAATTTTACCGAATATCCCGCCGCGACCTAGGCGGATGTGCACAATAGGTATCAATCAAAAATCGCGGTCGAAGACGATCAATTAGGCGTCCCCTTGGGCTCAGTATATCCTAGCAGGCTCTTAACAAAGGAACAAAGGGTTACAGAAAGGCAGTCAAGGAAAAGCAAGGAAAGATACTACCTATATATGGAAGATCGAAGAAACGCCCCAAGGCGTAATATACCTCGAGGTGATCGAAGGACAGATCAAGGTCAAAGCTCCCGGGGACTCATGAGTAAAGCCGGGTTCGATAGGTACACTGGGCCGGTAAAGTCACCCCGGCTATCCGAGTATAACTTCAACGTCGATGTCTCGGACATCGTATCGACCATAGGTAAAATCAAAGATACCAAGTGGCCAAAACCTATACTATCAGACCCTTCACAGAGAAACCCTAACTTGGTATGCAAATATCACTGCACTCACGGTCCTAGAACCGAGGATTGTAGACAGCTTCGAGAAGATTTAGCCCGACTGATCAGTGAAGGGCACCTTCGAGATTTCCTCAGTGATCGAGATAAAAATCAATTTTGGGAAAGAGAGGCTAGCAGGAAAAGCGAACCGGAAGAACCACAACATGGCATCCACATGATCGTTGGAGGGGCCGACGCCCCACAGGGACTGGTTGTCAAGCGAACGAAAATATCCATCAGCAGGGAAAAGCGAACTCAGAGTCACGTATTGGAGGGCGCTCTCACAGGACATCGATACCTTGTCTCAGCCTCATAATGATGCACTGGTAATTTCTTTTCTTTTGAATAAGTTTCAAGTTAAACATGTGCTCGTAAATCCAGGTAGCTCGGCTAGCATAGTTAAGTCGAGGGTGGTGGAGTAGCTCAGACTACTCGACTAGATCGTACCCGCCTCTCGAGTCCTCAATGGATTCAACATGGCAAACGAGACAACGAAAGGAGAGGTCATCCTCTCGATTAACGTGGCTGGCGCAATCCAAGATACCAAGTTTCATGTTATCGAAAGTGACATGAGATACATTGTCTTACTGGGAAGGCCGTGGATACATAGTATAAGGGCATTGCCATCAACCCTTCATCAAATGATGAAGTTTCCAACCAAGGATGGAGTAAAAACAGTATACGGGGAGCAGCAGGCGACAAGATAGATGTTTGTAGTGCACGATGTAGCGTCAACATCTATGCCCTCTACATCGAAGAAGCCAAAAGACAAGTAAACAACCAAATAGCAACCATAACCTACATTTTCGACTTCACCCGAATGAGTGAATAAAGGACCGTACCGCGTCCTCGGGGCAAGCAGTTAAAATGGATTGAGGCTCTACTGCTATCAATGTTAAGGTACAACCTTCTCCCTTTTAATTTATTTTTTGGTAATAACTTATTGCAGGCATACAATTACGAGGAATCGAAGAACCCTCCAGCTCGAAGACCTTGGGTTTTAAAGCATGCTTTGTTCTCTTTTCCCCTCATACTAGGTTTTATCCCAAATAGGTTTTTCCAGCGAGGTTTTTAATGAGGCAACATCCATATGCTACCTATGGAGAACTTATCAAATATTCGAGGCTTCTCTTCAATCAACCTCAAATACTGGGGGGCATCCCCCGGAAGGCCACCTCCTGGGAGAAGCCAAGATGTGCTAAATGGGGTCTCGATAGGAAAATGATGTACTGGGCCAAATGTTTGAACGAACTGTGTCCGTATAGAATAACCGAGCCCTTGACAGCAAAAACGTGTATACTTGTACCAACTAATCAAAGAATACTTNTCTTTGCTTACCAAAACACTTTGTGCCTCGATGAAGTCCACTACTTTCTCATAAGACGGCTCGAGGGCCAAAAGCTAGCTCTCGAACTCTCGGGGACTGTCATCGACAGTCAGCTCATCGATCCATCAAAAACTCGAATTCGTAAGACCTCAATCAGGAAACTTCGAGCTCGTAAGCCCTTAGTGAGGCAACACAAAATCTATTAGACCTCAACGAGGCATGCGAAAACTTATAAGACCTTAAAAAGGCATAAATCTGATATTAAGAACAAGGCTATATATCGAACTTGTAAGACCCTTAAAAAGGCATACCCTCGCTATAGACGCCTAGATCATGTCACCCGGGGACTATCGACTACGGTCGTATCAAAAGGTTCCAGCCAAATTAACGCGGCTCAGAGACATCTGACTGCCGCCATAAAACTAAAGGCCTCCAAATACTTTGAAAACACTTCGAAAAGAACTGGTTAATCAGGCTACCCCCGGCATAAGCAAAGGAGCTTCAATCATATCAACTCCAAATAATAACAAGGCTTCGAGACAATCAGCCTTCAGCAAAAGGCTTCAAAAAATCAGCCTTCAAGAGAACCTCCCAAGATACTCAATTATTGTCGCATATAGACTCGTAATCGAGGTTCTTATTTGAGCCGTCGAAGAGTCGGACGAACACAAAACATGCCAAGGCATAATCAAGACTTCAAATCTTCAGTCAAAATAGGGAAAACTAAAGCCATATTAAAGGTCACATCGACCCAGACTACAGCCATACCGAACTAATTATCGACAAACATCAACGCTCGAAACATAAACAAAGACACAATATAGTGGAAATTCATATGAAGGGAAAACCAAAGGTTTCCTTTTTTATTATTATGATTAATGGTACAAAGATACATTTACAACACCCCCGCAGGGAGCCCTATAGAAATAACAAGAAAGAAAAACCTAGTCTACCCTCGGGAACTTAGCCTTTCCCCCTCGAGGACTATGTCATCATCAGCTCCATCGGGACCAGCTCCCTCACCGGCCCCTCCTTGTTGTCTTCAGCATTGGAAATGAAGAATTGGGCATCGAACTCATCCGCCTTGTACTGCTCTATCTCCTCCGAGAGATCAAAGACCTTACCATGAATCTCCTCGAGAGTTTCCCTCCAGGATTTGCGTCGGGCATATTCATTGTTTCTCCTCTCTCGATCGGAATCCCCTCTCAACTTCATACGAGCTTCATCAACATCTTTCAAATCGATGGCCACCTTCTTATCGGACTTTGCTCGGACCTCTTTGGCTTCGGCTCGAGCATCCACGACTTCGGCTTTCATCTTTAAAAGATCTATATCAAGCTAAGCAATTCTGCTCGTCTAGACTAAGTCACTTTCTTGAGCATTACAAAGCTGTATCTCGAGGGTGGAGGCCTTAGCCAAAGCGTTCCCTTTTGGACGCAACATGAACATCTATTTGTGCCTTCAAATCGTTGCATTCAGAATTGACCTGGCTGACTTTGCCTCGAAGGCGCTCCAGCGTCTCTGTCATTTTCTGCAACTGGGATACCGAAACATTAGATTTGGTAAATTGGAGAAGAATCCTATATTCCCTCAAAACAAAAGTTACGTGTTTCTTAAGGTTGCCTTCATAATCTCGACTTCGGTCCAACTCCAATCGTCGATGTATCAGCTCTCTTGTCTTCTTATCACAAAGAAGCCTGAGAGATCTCTCCCCATTCAAGGCTTTACGTAACTTAGCCTCACATCGAATAAGCTCAGACTTGAGCTTATCAAAGGCCTATGAGAAATAAAGTTCAGTTAAAGAGGAGAAAATATGAAGATGGAAAAAGTTATAATAACTTCAAAACTAACCATAGAGCAGAGCCGCTGAACTTCCTCGAAGGTCGACTTCACATCTACCATCTCGGTCTCATCGGCCCTGGTAGAGTAACCCGAGGTGCTCTGACTTGGTAGAGATAAGCCGAAGTCCATTCCTCTCGGAGTACTTCCCAACGTCCAAGAACCAGCTGCCAAATCAGGTAATTAAGGACCTCCACCTTTCCTCAATTGTGGAATCTCTCCCTTGATACTAGGGGCCTCGAGCCAAGCAGGCTCAACTATTTCGGGAGGCTTCCTAGTTTGTGCCTTCAATATAGATTCATCCTCTCCAGGTGCATAAATGTCCACAGAGCGACCGATAAAAATGAATCTTTCATCAGCAGCAACAACCTCCTCGTGCCTCTGGGCGGATCCTTCTTTGTTGATGGGATCCTCGTTCTCCGGGGACTTTTTTCGAGGTCCTTCCTCCTCCTCAAAAGTGGACGGTCTCACCTCAAAAAATTCACCAATGCCTACAACTTAGAAATTATTGCAAAAGAAAGGGAAACTGCTCCTCAGAAAAGGGACTACATAACACATACCATGGTTCTAGCCTTCCATTTGCCCTTCGACAAATCTTGCCAATTGTGCTCATCATAAGTCAAAGAGGCCGCCAGTTTGCGGGCCCAGCCCACAAGATTGGCGACCTCATTTGGCAACCACGAGATTGCTGCAGAAAAAGAAAGAAAATGCCTTTACAGAGTCTGGCTCCACCGAGAATAAAGAAAATGCCCTTACGAAGTCTAGCTCCACCGAGAAAATGCATCACTTACTCTTAAAGTTCCATTTCTCGGGAAGCGGCAGGAACTTTGCAGGAATAATATCGACAGTCCTCACTCGAACAAATCGACTCATCCATCCTCGATCCCTGTCCTCCTGATCACTGGATATAAAGGGCCAGGTGGATCGGTGTTGTAGTGTAATTAGACCTCGATGATGTAATGGCTGAAACAATCTGAGGAGATAGCTAAGAGTGAACTCGAGCTTGGCCTTTTCAGTAAAAAATGTCATCATCAGCACAATCTACCAAAAGCATGAATGGATCTGAGTCAAAATAATGCTATGTTTTTGATAGAATTCGAGCACGAGTTGGTCAAATGGACGCAGCGTAAACGGGTATGTGTACACGTTCAGAAACCCCTCTACATGGGCCATGATATCCTCTTCCCGAGAGGGTACCTGTAGCCTCACCCCTTCTCCCTATCCGCAGTCTCTCCTCACAACCTCAAGGTGTCTCTCTTATATTGATCGAATAAACCTCGATGCATGATCTCAATGTCTCGGAATGTCGAGAGGTTTCTCCATCGTAAAACCTCTATTCAAGACAAAACAGTTAGAAGTTAGTTCACCAAACGCTGGTAGTGTACCACCGGCCGGACGGGAAGTAGAGGTAGGAGTTCCCTCTTTCTGATGAGCAGATTTGGGCATGGTAGCCATAACTCCTTCAACACAAGAAAGGGAAGATGAAAACTCATGCGAAAGCTTTGATCTGATGTGGCACTAGAACTAGCGCAAAAAAGGAACTCTGCGGAGAAAGGAAGTTGCACAAAGCGGAACAGCCTTCAAAACAGGGAAATCAAGTATATATAAGAAGAGCAATGACTATTCATTAACTTTGATAGCCAATCACCTCTCACAATTCAATTATAACGTTTTGGGAAATGTACTGATGGGACAATTTCGATCACTTCAGTGTCATGTCACAGGAATAACGTTTCCACCCCGTGTACAAGACATCGATAGGTCAAGTCAATTCCTTACCAGCCCAACCTAAGGAAGGTATGCAATCAAAACTAGAACAACCCGATCTAGAGGGTCTCTGTTGCTCAGAGACCAAGCTCGAAGAAGTTAAAATTATGCTTGACTTCGGCATGAACACTAAAAGGAAAAACTTGGAAGACATTAAAATCCTTTGTATTCCAAAAGTATATTTACAAAGGTGCATTTTCAAAACTCCCACGCAGAGTCCATTTACAAAAGAAGAAGAATCAAAAAGAGCAAAGGTGGCTTAGTCGTCTTCACCACTCCCCGAGCCACTCACAGAGCCCTCGTCCGAAGAAGTCGGGGCTGCTGACTCCTCTTCCAAGGCTTTCGCTTCTTCGATCTCAGCGGAGAGATCAACCCCCTTGGCA